ATGTTCATCTGTTCCTCCCCCAATGAGAAGTCCACAATTGCGCAGGGCGTCCCATCGCTGCGCATCGACGCGTAGAGCGTCGTGCCCGCAACGACGGTGAGCTTGGGCAGAAGAAGGCTACGGAAAGCAAAGGAATTTTGGAATAATGCAGAATGTGGTTAGGAAGTTGTTATACAGGAGCGCAAGGCCAGGCTCATCAATCGTCAACACTCTGAGCAAAGGGAGACGTAGACTCTAGTACTCTGGGAATCTGTTCATCGTGAGAGCCTGCTGTCCTGTCATCTCGTTAATCATTTTCCCCACAAACACACACACCTTGGCTGTTCGTTAACTCTGTGCAAGTCAAAGCCCACTGTTGTAAAAGGGAAATACGGTCTTTGAAGCACAGCTTCAACTCCGTGCACGCAAGCGCGCTAACGAACATGAGCACTAACATTCATCTCCCCAATATCTGTTTACCAGTGATACCATAAGAGTCATCTGAGAGTATGAAACTTTAAGGGTGGATCTGCCACAGAGCTGTTAACGACCGCTGCCCTGCCGAAGGTTCGGTAGACCCTCTGGGGCTTTTCCGCTGGCCCCACTGACTTCTACCTTCTGTCTGGTTTTCAGGTGCGTGTAAGAAGTAGAAGATTGAATTTATTGTTGCTAACATTCTCTCTATCTGCTTGGCGGGGTGAGGGCCTCTCCTTCGGATATAGGCCTGGGCCTTCGGAGTGTTGAGTGGGTTGTTTTACCCAGGGCCCTCTGCAGATCCAGTCCTCTTCTCGGCACTTCCTCGTGCTGCTTCTTCGTTTAATTGATGAACGCAAGGGCTCGGGTTCGGGATGGCGCCGTTAGAGGCGACTAAGCGGCGGAAGGCCCCTGAAGACGACGGAGGGGTAATCCCGGTGAATTTAGAGGCACCGCCTGCGCCTACCCATTCGGGGCGCGATCAACTACTGAATCCGCTGTCTCCTTCACCAAGTCCCCACTTTAATGTGGCGCTGCAACAATGCGTCTATCCGCACATCCTGTCATTTAACACATTTGCAGACTGCTATGTGGAAGAAATGATCAAGGAGCTGCCGTTTATCTACGTGGATCCCTACTATGACCCAGATCGGCATGAAGCCAATCCATACTACAAACCGTCTGACTGTATGCTCCCCACAAATTGGCACTTCACCTGCAGAGTAATTGTCTTCTAGCATAGAAGTATATGTGTCACAAGCCAGCGTGAACAGTGTGTAATGAAACAGATGCTTCAGTGACATCATCTTAATTGATGTATCGAGCTGCAGTGGTACGAAGTGTTAGATGCCCTTTTGTTGCTTTTTGGCGGCAGATCTGAAACTGGGAATCGCAGAGGCAGTCCTGGGCTGCCCCCAGAAAGCCGGCATGGGGGACCTCCAGGCAAATTCAGACAGCTGCAACAGACTGCTCCCTCGTCACTGCAGAGAGTCGCATGTGTCTTACGGGGCCCCCCTTCATGTCAGCTTTGTTTGCTGGAGGACTGGAGACGAAAACAGTGTGGCATTCAAGAAGACAATGGTGGTTGGCCAGGTGCCAGTTATGGTTAAGAGCAACCGATGCAGTCTGTCAGGTCAGTTGTAGTTACCTTAACTCGTCCCCTAGTGCTACATAATGTGAACAGAAACCCTTCTGGGGAATGCCGTTTCTTGAGCAGGCCAGAAAGCCACTTCATCAGTTGCCGAGGTTTCGAAGCGGCATGCACTCCAGCAGATCCACTCTTCTTAGGCTTTGCTTTGCACGATAGCTTGTGGCATGTACTTGGGTTCTGCCTTCTTTCTTTCCAGGCATGAGCCCGACTGAGATGGTAAGAGCTGGAGAGGACTTGGATGAACTCGGCGGCTATTTCATTATCAACGGCAACGAACGCGTGCTGCGCTTTGTCATTCAACAGAAGACAAATTACCCAATTGCTCTCAAAAGGGAGAGCTTCAGGAACCGCGAGATCTTCGCTACGGACCTGGCAATTCTTTTAAGAAGCCAGAGGCAAGCTGTGCACACTTGTCCCGGCGTGGTGCGGTTGCTCTTTGACGGAGCCGCGGAAGGGCATTCAATGATCAAAAATCTAGCAGAAATCCATAACGCTTATGAACCAATAAATAGCTGTGCGGATGCCTTTAGTAGCGCAATATGCCAATTTATTTTTGGAATTCTGGCAGGTTCGATGGAACGTGCACCTCCAACATTCTGCTGGATACAGAAGACGGGAGGTGCTGTTATCGTATTTTGCTTAATCGACAGGAGCATTTCTGTCCATTTCTCTTGCTGCTGAGGTGCGTCGGGGGGGGCCTTTCTCTGCAGCAGTTCAAGCTCAAGTTTATGGAGGGTACATGGAGTGACATTACCGAAGCCACCCAGTTGCATGCGCTATTTGAAGAAGCTTGGGGAAATGAGAAGGACTTCGTCGATACCGATGTAATGGAGCATAGGGTAAGCAACGTTACGTCAGGCAAGGGCTTCGTGTCGCAGGGAATACAGCGGTGCCATCCACTATGTTTGTTTCTGTGTACAGCCTTTGCACCAGCTCGGCCAAGTGTTCTGGAGAGGTGTTTCTTGGCTCCTGCCCCCCGGAAGTACCTATGAAGACGCCGGGCGATTTGTCATCAATGGTTACGTGCTCGTCCATGTAAAGGATTGGGCCAGCAAGTTTGAGACGCTGTTGTTGATGTTTCGGAAACTACGGCAGCTACGGGCGGGGAAGATACCGGTGAGCTCTTACTGTACAGGAGCTTGACAAGACACAGTCGTTGGTTGTTTCACTTTACATGCACCGGCACCCCCATGTTCAGCCGACGTCTTGTGCTGTATGCAGCCGGAGAGTATGGACGCTTTCTCGTATCAAGAAGTAGTTCTTCCCGGCCAAATCCTTGCATCAGTCCTCAAGGACGCTCTGTTTGCTGCATTGATCAAGCTCCGCACGCAGTACATGATGGTAGGCAATCCCCGGTTAGTTGGTAGATGCTG